TGTGCCAGGTTTGTTTATATCCAGTTTTCATAACATTTTTTACAGCTGTACTGATTGCATTATGGATAAAGTTGGAGACTTACATAAGAAACATTTGTAGACAGAACACTGGAATTTTCAGCATAATACTTCAGTAATACTTCCTACATTATGCCAGGCCACAGCACAACACACTGACAAGTTAAGTACTGTGTCCACAGTAAAGCTCTCACAATTAAATTAGAACTTCAGAGAAACTTTACTAGTGATAAAGCAGCTGTGCAGATTTTATTTTCTTTAAAGAAGAAGACTCGTACAGCAGTTTTAAGTCTTCAAATCCTAATAGATCATGAAAGCATCTCTCACCAGAGAGTGAAGCTGACTTCAAAAACCATGAGTAGTACATACCCAAGGAACTCATCCCTGAACAGGATATTTAGAACAACCAAAAATGTCCCATTCTGCTGAAAAATGTATCTTTTTAGGATAAAAAAAGAATAATTTTCACATTATAGATGTCCTAGAGATAAGTAGCACAAATATATGAATCACTGGCAAATTGATCTTCAATAAACAAAGACAAGCTTCTGTTCTACTCTGCATTCACAGTAACAGAAATAATAAAAAGATACTGACTGGGTAAGAATTTCACTCCAAGAACTTCCATCCTGAGTTTAGAGGGGAGGGTCAATGACCTTAGGAACGCAGAAGTATGGTAGAAAGGAGGGGAAAACCACAGAAAAATATGAGAAAGCAACAGAAAATTTATTTGTTTTTTATAAAGAACATCTATTTAAAATGGGGGAGAGAGGAGGGGGCAGAGGTACCCCCTGAGTGCTCCTTCCAGGATCTCCATGCTCTGCAGATCATAGAATGGTTTGGGTGGGCAGGGACCTTAAAAATCATCCAGTTCCAACCCTTGCCACAGGTAGGAACATCTTCCACAAGACCAGGCTTCTTCCTATTTCACAACAAAGAGCCTCTGGAACAGAAAGTTCTTTGCCCATTATAAAGAAAGCCTCTAAGACAGCATTAGGTGACAATTACTAATCAGCCCCTCACTATGTTACCTGAATTCTAAGAAAGAAAAAATGGCAGTAAAATAAAAATGTGAAAGTAAAAGAACATCTCAAGTTTGCTTTGCAAATCCATCTCACCTTCAAGAGAGGAGGCTTCCTTCCTATGTTTTGCTGACACACCTACAGTAAGCCTGTTACATACTCTCAGTAACACTGCACTGAAGCACTGTAAATTCCCCACAGCAGCTCATCTGCAATTTTCTGATCCAAAGTACAAATTACAGTCCATTACATTTCCTCTCATGTTTAGAAAATTGCATACAATGGGATCCTAAATACACAGTAATAACTTCTAGCATACCAGATTCAAGATTATTGGCCTCAAATTGCAACTCTGTATTGACACATTCCATGGACCACAAGAAAACAACCATACAAAAACTGTGTCTTACCTTATCCTTTTCATGGGGAAGGAGACACACTGGAGGGAGACAGGAAAGAGACTCAAAACTCTCCTTCCCATCAGCATTAGTGGTTGCTTTAGTGTTGAGTTGGTACAGAGGTCCATCCTTAAGGAGCCTACCATGGCCAACAGCACGTTTGACAGCTAATCGTAATTGCTGGTGAAAAATGGAGGCAGCGCTGCCTCCAAATAATGCAGACACATCTTTCTGACCTTTCAGAAAGCGCTCGATGTTCTTCAAGGATGAGCCACTAGACTCAGCCAAGCCCTCAATTGCCCGTTTAATAAGTTTATTCCAGTCCACGTTTGGTTTACCATCCAACTTGCCATGGTTCCGAGGCTTCGGAAGTGCTATTCTCCCAGGATTATCAGGATCCTTGTAGGAGTTGAGACCCTTGTTGGAGACTTTTAAAATAGTTCCATCTTTAACACTCAACTCTAACTGTTCCAGAACAGTTTTGCGGTCCAAACCATGCGAAGATGACACTGCGTTGCATATCCTCTCCTCTGAAGGTCGCTGCTTTTGCTTCTTTACCTTTTTGATTGCCTCCAAAATCCACTCTGTATACAGCGGGTTGGCGAGTTTTACCATGGTGAAGAATTCTGTATATCCATAGAGTCGTTATCCTTTATCCTGATGCTGAACGAGTTTCAAATGACGAGAAAACAGATCCTCGAATGATGGGAACCAGCTAACCATAGCATACACGTTTTCTGTCCTGAATTAATCCTTCTTTCTCAAACATTATTTGTTTTCACACTGAAGAGAAGAAAACAAAACAATTAGAAACTTATATACTCTTTCCAATAAATCCCATAACAGCTTCACAGAAAGGTTTTACACAAATATAAAAAGATTTCAGCATTATCTCACCTGAGCTTCTGGTCTCACAACCAAAAGAGCTCTAATGTTAGGCCTAGAAGAAAACAAGAGAGACATTTTAAAAAAAAACTGTTTTGAAGAAGAAAAAAGTAGCAGACAATATTAATTTGTTAAACACATAGAGTTTTAAGCCTCTACATTTCTGAAATACTGAAGTAATATTTCAGATTTTATCTTCACTACTAATAAAAGCATTCTTTAGCACTAAAATTACCCCATGCAACCTAGAGAAAAATGTCCTTTCCATTTTGATCCATTAGTCTATACCAAGATTTGTACCACTGCTGAGCACAACATAAATTAATATTTGGGGGAAAAAAGAAAACCACAACAAACATCTTAAAAGAGCAGCAGCTCTCTTAATTTTTACACATGGAAGACACTGCCTGAAACTGACAGAAAATAGGAATAACTAAGACTCTTGAGCAAACAGCGAGAAACTTTCAGAGCACTTTCAGGAGTGTAATCATGGGTTTCCCATCTGTGAAGAAAAGCTATGACAGTTGTTCCATAAAGGGAAAAAAGTGAAGAAACACAGCTGGAGATTGCAATTTCATGGTCCACTTTGAGAGGCCACAGAAAAAAGAATACAACGTAATTTTCAGTATTGATGAGGCCCACTGAAAACTCCTGAGGACAAAGTAACAGGTGACCATACACAGTGTAAAAGGAATGCTTATGACACTGCTAATTAATGATGCTGGCGAAAGGGTATGAGGCTCTACTTTAGAGCCTTTAGTTAGTTATCTTTAAAATAGGATTTTATGGATGTGATAACTGTCTGTTGTGCTGAAGTTCTGCTTCAGGAGTACACTAACCAAGAAGGATGTGTAAAGTGTTTATCACAAGAAATAATGATTTTCTACAAGGGAAGTTTCAGACAAGAGCTAAGTTCACAACACAGTTACCGTGCTCTGCTTTCTAGTAAGTACTGAAGAATTTATCAATACACGGAACACATTTGCATACAGACACCAGACTCAACAGCAGAGCTCCACACGGCCAGTATTGGAAAGACTCTGAACGACTGCTTAAACCAGAAAAGATGCAGCGCTTGCCTAGAGTTCTTTTATTCTGCGAACCACAGATGTAAAGGGAAATACGGTCCTCGACACCTGCCCGCCTCGCAAAACAGAGATGCGCTCCCGCGGTGCCCCTGGATCCCGAGGCCCGAAGGATGCCGTCCCCTGTCCCAGCCGAGCTCCGTGCGCAGGGCGTTATGCAACCGTCCGGCCAGGCCGGGGCGACACCGGGACGGTCCCAGCGCCGGTGGGTCGCTGGCTTTCTGGGTGACAAGCGACCCCTGCACCTGCTACCGCTCGTCCCCATCCCTACCGCGGGCAGGTCCCGCAGCAGGCGCCCCAAGGAGCGCACTGCCTCAGCACAGAGACTCGCACCGGCGAATTCGGGAAAAGCGGGGCGCAGGCCGCAGCCGCGGCGGACAGCCGGGCCCCACGCAGCTCTCCGTCCTCCCGGACACGGGCAGTGCGGGCCCGGCCAGCTCCTCGCACTGGTACGGCCGGGCCCGCGCCCGCCTCAGCCGCGCTCTCTCGCGCCAGACACTGATCGGAGCTCGGCTCGCGGACCCCCGTCCTGTTCGCCCGCCTCACCCGCGCCGTGCCGCGGCCGCCACCTCCCCGAGGCGTGGGCCTGGCGAGCGCCGCGGGAGCGGACGGCGGGGCCGGGCCTGGCGCAGAGCGGCGGCGGGGCCGGAACAGGCCGCGAGCCTGGAGCGCCCAACTGGGCCTTCCCCTTCCCCAGGCCACGGAGCTCGCCAGCCGCCTGTCCCCGACTTCCTCGGCATCAACCACCCGCGCCGGCGCGGCTCCGCCAGCGTTACTTACCGAGGGCCGCGAGCGCCGGGTCCCGGGAGGTGAAGGCCGGACGGCAGCGAAGCCCGAAACTGACACGGCGGCCATCTTGGGCCCGGCGCGCTGCGGCGGGGGGCGGGGGGCGCGAGGGTGAGGTGACGTGACGTGAGGCGTATAGCACCACTTAAAAGATTTGCCCACAGTCCTGAATCATAGTTGGGTCTGAAATCTCAGGTCTCAGCCTCTCCGTGCTGGTGCAACAGTGAGACCTTGCTCCCGTATAGAGGAGGCTCCCATGTAAGAAAGGCTGTGTGCTCAGGCAGCTTATTTAATGGGATACAAAGCACTGCTTTTGTATTGTTTTTGTATGTTCCCAGCAGTGTAGTAGGAGAATTATTTGTCATGGCATGTTTTACTCAGAAGTCCAGAGATCTGCTATATGAACGTGAAAAACTAATTGTAGTTATGCAAAGGAATAATTTGCTAGAGAATTTGGGTAAATTTGGCATGACAATTGTTTTCACGCCAGCTGGCTGTTTTCTGGGGTGTTACTCCTTGGCGAACGAACCAACAAAATAATCTAGTGAAAAACGTTTCCCTAGCTGTACCTCCCTGCAAAAACCGGGTTATTTCCTCACTCCACGGACTATAGTCCAGTTCCCCCCTAGAAAAGGGACCCCAAAAGGCCGCGGAGGAGCAGGCGGGGCAGCGAGCGCACCCCGCCGAACGCGGGGGAACGCGCAGCGCGCTCCGTGTGGGACGTCCCCGGCTCGCCATGGCGCCGCCTAGCGGGGGCGCCCCGCGCCGCTCCCTGCCTTGTCAGGTGTGTAACGGGGCTGGGGGGGAACGGGACACGGAACGGCTCGCCGGATAAAGGCGCGTGGGGGCTCTACCGGGAGCGATCCCGTACCCGCCTAGATCCCCGCCCGGCCGCTGCCGGGATTGTTGCGGAGCGTGAGCGCGCCGCCTCACCGCTGCGGGCGGGCCGAAGCGCAGCGCCCGCTGGCTGCCGAGACCCGTCCCGAGCGCTGGGGGCGTGTCTGTCCGCGCGCCGGGGGCGGTGCTGGCGGCGGCCGCGCTGCGCGCGCGAGGGGCGGAGCCGGGGGCTGCCGGGGGCGGGGCCTGTGCGGGGAGCGCTCTCGGGGGTTTCGCTCCGGCACGGCTCGGCACGGCACGGCACGGCCGCAACCATGATCCACAGTCTGTTCCTGATCAACGCCTCGGGGGACATCTTCCTGGAGAAGCACTGGAAGAGCGTGGTTAGCCGCTCCGTGTGTGACTATTTCTTTGAGGCGCAGGAGCGGGCCTCGGAGGCGGAGAACGTGCCGCCGGTGATCCCCACGCCGCACCACTACCTCCTCAGCGTCTACCGCCACAAGATCTTCTTCGTGGCCGTCATCCAGAGTGAGGTGCCGCCGCTCTTCGTCATCGAGTTCCTGCACCGCGTCGTGGACACGTTCCAGGTATGGCCGAGGGGCTTGGGACCCCCAGGCTGGAGAGCGGGAGCCTCGGCACGGCCTCAGCCGCAGAACCCCTCTCGTTTGCACCTCCTAGGGTTTTATTTTTTGTTTCCCGTCACGTAATTTTCATCCTGCGTTTGTAGACGGGTCTTGCCGTGGTAGGGAATTTCCTGCCTATACGATGGATTCGGGGATCTACCTGTGCCCACAGGATGAACCTTTCATAAATCAGCGTTTCTATTTTGCAGCCTTATCTGCTCTGCGAACTGTGAACTAAGACCAAGCTGGCCTTGTTCTCATAAGGAGCTTTTGCAGTTCATAGCCACGTGCTTTAATCAATTAGTGACAACCCACCCGTGCGTTTATATCTAGTGATGCTTCTTCAAAGCTTCCTAAAGCAGTGAATTGCAGGAGTTGCCCCAGAGCAGCTGTATTCCCTCCGTGCTAAGGTTGACACATCTTGTGATCAGTTCAGGAACACGGCAAAGATGTCTGTCTTCCTCCTGCCAACAACAGGATTGTGTTGTCTGGATTTGAAATGTCTTGTGACCAGCATCTTGCCAGCATACAGGAAATGTGTGTGCTTGGCCAAACAAGTGTCATGGGAGCTTTTGCTTCCGAGATGTCAGTCAGAACCTGTATTCTGAGTTATGTTTCTCTGGCTTTAGGGAGTGGATTGGCTGTTCAGGCCAGCAGTGGGTCGTGTCAGACCCTTAGGTCTTGTTTTTTATGAGGATATGAGGCATGAGTGTGTAGTCACTGGCTTAGATGTATATTAAAATCTTGTATGGCTGAAAAAGAGTGTTTGTAATGCAGAACTAGGATTTCTCTACTGTCACAGCGTACATATACTCATTCTTTATGCAAAATACCAGATTTCTTTAATTGCTGTAAATAACTAGAAGCTCGGGTTTGTGTTTGTTCACATGCACTTGATCTCTCCTGTAAGATGCTTGAAGTTCATGTAGAATAAGACAGTAAGTAAATTAAATGTTCAGTTTTAAAAACTGCTGAATTAGCTGGGACAGCTGATGTGGGAACTCACCACCTTACTGGAGCAGTGGCCAAGGCGTGCTCAGAGTTGTGTGTGTCTGTGGGAGTGGTGTGTCTGGTCTGCTGTAGTAATACAGGGAGTTTCAGTGGTTTTTTTGCCTCCTCCAAGAAGAGGCTTGATTTATTCCTGTGTGGGAGAGCACTGGACTGAATGATCACTAGGATTCTCTTTCAGAGATCACTGAATAATTCTTTCTTTTGCACAGGATTATTTTGGTGTCTGTTCAGAGGTAATAATCAAGGACAACGTTGTGGTGGTTTATGAGGTGCTGGAGGAGATGCTGGACAATGGCTTTCCATTGGCAACAGAGTCTAATATTCTTAAGGAACTGATAAAGCCTCCTACTATTCTGCGAACAGTCGTCAACACCATCACAGGTACAGGGAAACAAGAAGAAGATAAATATTCCTGCATAAGTAAATTAGGACATGGGTGAAGAAAAATTTATGTTCTATGTCATTTATGCAGCACAGGTGTGTTTAGGGAGTCATTTGTTGGTGCTTTGCTTTGAGGTTCCTTCCAATTTCAGCACCAGCTGCACTTTGGTTTTGGTCTGATTTGGGGGTATTTTAACCTAAAAAAGTCAGATTACATTTTCAGTTACAGACATGACATGACTTCCAGGATGAGTTAGTTTGATGTGAGTTTACACATCCCCATGTGTAGACACTGTCCCATGCATTCCTGTGGTTTGTTTTAGAGCTGGGTGCAAGAGAGATGTGCATTTTTAGAGTACTGAGAGTTTGGAAGAGTAATTGCTCTCCTACAAAGAAACAGAGGTTCTCGGGGATTAATTACAATTAAGCTCTGTAAGGCCAGGGACTTGCTCTGCAGCATTGCCTAACTTCTGTGGTTGTTGATTCCCTTTCTTTTTCCAGGAAGCACTAATGTGGGTGACCAGCTTCCCACTGGACAGCTCTCAGTGGTGCCTTGGAGACGTACTGGTGTAAAATATACCAACAATGAGGCCTATTTTGATGTGATTGAGGAGATAGATGCAATCATTGACAAATCAGGTACGGAAGTTGCTCCTGGTTAAAACAGGATAACTAGTCCTGATAGTGCCTGGAGAGAGAGTTAGGTTTTGAAATAGGTGCACCTTCATCCAAGTGTGGGAAACTCTGTTCCTATTTTTACTCTGCAGTGTTGCTAACTTGTGTGTGCTATTCAGTCAAAAATTTTAGCGGCGCCAAGATTTTCACTTGTCTTTGTTCTTGAGGTCTCATAAGCAATTCTATATTGGGAAAATAGAGTGAAGATGAGTAAAAATTGTGCATAGCATTTTCTCTTTAGTATTTGTACTTCTTTGTCTTGTTAGAATTGGGAGCTATTGTCATTGGCCATTAAAATGGACATTGTTGGTGTCCATGGTTCTTAACTGAATGAATCTTCTAGAGGAGTCAGTGGGAATGATACAAATGCTGAGCAGGCAACATAATGAACCATGGCATCTCATTAAGAAAATAGATTTCCTTCCTCTTCACTCATAGTTTTTCCACTTTTTTGGGATTTTTTGACTAGGTTCACAAAACCACCTGTGTTTACCTTGTTGTTACAGGTTCCACTATTACTGCTGAAATCCAAGGAGTGATTGATGCTTGTGTCAAGCTGACTGGGATGCCAGACCTTACCCTCTCCTTCATGGTAAAGCTCAAGGATGTATCTTTACTTAAGTCTTTTGAAAGGGGTTTTCCAGCCCTGCTGCTAAGATTGGGGTCCTGTGATGATGGACCCCAGGACATCAGAATCTGGGTATGCCAGACGAAAAGAGAAAAAAATTACACTGGGAACTCATCAGGAACTTCAGCAACTTAGAGCCTAAAAAGGCTTTTTCAGATTATTTGCTTAAAAGCACATGTGATGTGTCCTGTGACTTAAGTTTTTGAGATACAGTGGTGCTTTAAGCAGATATCCTGAAGGGCCACCTCTGCTATGAGTACACACCAGTGTAATTATGTGACATGACTCAGTTTTCTGAAATAGAATTAAAAATATCCTGAAAAAGGATAGAAGTTATTGAGTACTGCTTTCACATGGATATAACAGCATCAGACATGTCTGAATGTAGACACCTCCAAGTGGTCAAGAGTGTGTCAAGTGGTAGGCCCTTCATGGATAGAAGATTGCTAAGAAGAGGAAGTCATTTTAAGTTGTACTGCCTTCACAATCCTTGTGACTTCCTTTTGTTTCAGAACCCTCGGTTATTGGACGATGTCAGCTTTCACCCCTGTGTGCGTTTTAAGCGCTGGGAGTCAGAGAGAATACTCTCCTTCATTCCTCCTGACGGAAATTTCCGCTTGCTCTCCTACCACGTCAGTGCTCAGAAGTAGGTGATGAGTCTGGTGCTGTGAATTATGAAATTTGGATCCTTCTGGCTAGGAAAAGGATAAAAGAAGGAACTTTTAAAGATGAGGTGGCATGTTGAGCCAAGTGAATTAGGGGTGCATGGTGACTTATATTTTTCTTTTTTTTAAATGACACATTTTCTCCTTGTTTGGAGCACTGATTCTGTAATTTCTTTCTGGCCAGCCAGCATTTTTCAAAGACTGCTAGCAGATAAACAAACTAGATAGTGCTGGTGCAACAGTGCGAGCTTCCTCCCATAGAGAGGAGGCTCTATAGAAAGCATTAGACAGTGTGGATGAATCAAGCTGTTGATTTCATGTTTATAAAAACTTTTTAGAATAAAATAAGATAGTTTGGTGCTCCTGTTAGGTTTTTGATATCTCTCTTAATGGAACCACAAGTTCTTGTCCAGGTTTACACTCTTTTCTAGAAGCAGTTTGCCAAGTACTATTTGGAGTTACAGTTGCTAAAGAATTTTGCTAGACTTTTGTCAGATTTACTTCTAGTAGGTGAAAAGGAGTGGCAAATGCAACCAAAAGCACAAACATGAAGTTCAAGTGGTACTGCACTGCCAGGAACTATTTGCCAACCTGGTTGTGACATGCAAAAACGTTTCTCATTTTTGGTCAAGCCTCCTGTTTTATTTGGTGTAGTTCCCTTTTCTGATAAAATAGGATATAGCAAGCTTGATTAGAAAAAGTGTAATTAAAGCTTGAGAATGGAATCCTGACTTTGCTCCTACCTCAAGCAAATGAGTGTAGAATTTCCTTCTCTTTTAAACAAATATGAAGACAAGAGATTGACAAGGACTTTCTGTTTGTGTCTTTATTCCAGTCTTGTGGCAATTCCTGTCTACGTTAAGCACAACATCAGTTTTCGTGACAGCAGCTCACTGGGACGGTTTGAGATCACAGTGGGGCCAAAGCAGACTATGGGGAAGACTGTAGAGGGAGTGATGGTCACTAGCCAGATGCCAAAAAGTGTCTTAAATATGACCCTCACACCCTCCCAGGGAACACATACCTTTGATCCAGTTACAAAGGTAAGAGGAAAGAGAGAAATTAGATAATTAAAAAAAAAAAAAACTTTCGTATCTATCAGAAAATGCAGTCAACCTGTTCATGCTTACATGAAGACTTCCATGAACCCTGCTTTGCTGAAGGCTGTATGTTGGGATGAGAACTTTTTCTGAACAATTGCATACTAGGGTTTTCTTAATCCCCAGAACAAATACCTTGGTGTCTGAGTGGATTGCAGTTCTGGCTACTTGGTGTGTGAAGAAAATCCAAGCACTGGTCTTGTATAATGGGACATCAGTCTGGTGGATGGCTTACAAATGTCTGCATATCTTGTTGTCATGCTGGTCTTTTGCAAACACTGAGGGCTGGTTAATGGTTTTGGTTTGGTTTGGGGTGTTCTGGTTTTGTTGTTTGAACCTGAGGAGGTAACTTAATTTCTTCTTCTTGCGAACATTAATCTGATGGGCTTACCCATGTGGCCTTTAGCACAAGTAGTGGGAATAGCATTCATAATAGCTTTTGGGGAGCCTCATGGAAAAAGAGGGAGGACAAAGGTTCAGAGTGAGGTATCCACTCCTTAATCCTGTGTCTGGCCAATATGAAAGGCAAGATACTAAGAAAAAGAAATTTTTCATAGAGAAACATTAAAAGCTGTCATTGGAAGGGGACTCTTCTTTAGAAGGTGCTGCATTTTCTGTTCCTTAAAGTTACTGTCATGGGATGTTGGAAAAATAAACCCCCAGAAACTGCCAAGTCTGAAGGGGAGCGTGAGCCTGCAAGCTGGGACATCGAAACCAGATGAAAACCCCACCATTAACCTGCAGTTTAAAATTCAGCAGCTGGCTATATCTGGTAAGTGACTCTGAGGTAAAGAAGTGGAATGTTCTCTGCTGTGCCAGTGCTCATTCTGCATGTAGCTGGAGTAACTCTGCAAACCTTCTGAAGTACATTCTACCTGAAACATGTTCTTCAAGCAAAAAAGTTGTCTGCTTTGACTACAGATATATGGATTTGTTCTTTCTAGTGGTCTGTGAAACAACTTACTTGCATTTCCTTGCATTTCGTGCTTACAGACCTCTAAAGAAATTAAGGATATGGATGTCTTTGTAAAGAATGATTCTAACAATTAGCAGTTGTCAGCTTTACTCCATTCTGCCTACTGCTTGCTAAAACTTTCCCTTTGCTTTCTGCACCAGCAGTATGATCTTCTGTCCCTTTATCCCAAAGGCCTGCCAGCTTTGTTTGTGGCAGCAGTCAGGCTTACGCTGTGTTTGTTTGCCTCTAGGACTGAAGGTGAATCGCCTGGACATGTATGGGGAGAAGTACAAGCCATTCAAGGGGATAAAATACATGACTAAGGCTGGCAAGTTCCAGGTCCGAACCTAGAGGATCCTGATAGCAAGGAAGAGCACTTTTCCTATTTCCCCTGTCCCTGGCTGTTGGATGCAGCCTCTTATCTCATCCATCTATTTCGGGTTGCTCCCTTGTCTCTAGTAGCATAAGCAGGAAAGCCAGTGCTCAGAGTGCTGGAAAAGCAGGGAAAAGTAAGGTTGACCTGAAACCACCTCATCCCTACCTGAGTCTGAAGTATTTGGAACAATAGTAGATGGGAGAGTTGCTCAGGTCCCTTAGGATTAGCAAGTCAGCTATGTATGCTTGTATCACCTTCATTTTGCTGTCTTAGAGGAAATTCTAGGGATTTATGGCCCTTTGTAGCTCCTCTTCCTTGTATTTTGTTTGGCTTTTATCCCATTGTACGTGATACAAAGTTGAATTTCCACAAACTTCAATGTGATGATCCAGCATCTGCATTCCTGTATCACTGGGTGTTAGGGTGTAGAGCTGTGTAGTTCTTGCCAGCAGGGAGAACACCTAGCTGTTCTGCCTCAGAAACGACTGGAAGAAGTGGAAGGGTAGATTGTTCTTCCCTGGATGGGAGTTGAGAAGCCTGAGATTGGGAATGGTGCCACAAAGGGAAGAAGGGAAGAAGTGAATTCTTTCTCTTTTTCATAAGGCATCCTGATCATCAAGGATCTTTAGTCTCTGAATACAGACTTGAAATACATTCAGATCTTGTAACTGGTATCTCCATGTAATTCTTCTCTTATTTAATCAGTGTTTGAAGGTAGGAATTCTCCTAGCTTATTTGGGGAATCAGAAGAGACAGACAGGGAAACTTCTGTGGAGACAGCACTGATGGAATTTGAAGCTGTGGCTACATGAAGATAACCACTGTCCTAGTAACTTGTTGGGACCTCTTTTTGCCTCTCCTTGCCTATTGCAAATGATGCTGATACTGCTGTTTTCCTGCTCACTGATGTCTTCCTTTGAGATAATTGTGACCTGGTACCTTTGTAGTGTTCCTCCTGTCCTACCTCATTTCAGTTTCTCTACCAGTCAGGTGCTGTGCAGATGGGTTCAAACCTATGCCAGATTTTTCACTGGGATCATTTCCTCAGGAGCTGTTGTTCCATCTGCCCATTCCAGCCTGTGGTACATCCCTCTGTACAGCAGAAATAGGAAATGAGAGGCACCTACACTGTTCATATTGTCTGTGACAGGCTCTTTGTCCACTACATGCCAGTGTTTTTTCTCTTGGTAGCAGAACTTGCACCTAAGCTGCTGTACATGTGACCACACACGTGTGGCTGTGGAGTCCAGCATGTACAGTTCATGCTTGTGAACAGAACAGGGTGACCCTAAACGAGGGAGAGCATTCATTCCACCTTGCATGTGGTGGACACTTCATGAGTGGCATCTTGCTTGTGGGATTACTGGTTCCTGTGCAGCTGAATTCCATAGCAGGTGGTGTTCTGCTGAGGCGACGTTACTGCTGAGCATGTTCAGTGCAAACAAAACCCTCAACAAGGGCATCAATAAAATTAATTTTTACATGTCATCTGTGTCATTTCAGAGTGGTTTGTAAAGGCTTTGTAAGAAATAAAGTTGGTGTTTGAGGAGGAATGTAAATTATGCCAATTTGATTGTGTATAGTGGGTGCCTTGGGGAAATAAATGTCTTTACGCAGTTGGCATTGTAAACCTGGGACTAAGTCACTGTCTGAAAAACTGAAACTAATTGCTTTCTTGGTAATTTTTCTTAGTGTTTCCCAGAAGGAGTGCTCAGCATTTCCTAGAACCTGAAGTGAAAATGTCTTTAGGAATGCAGCTGAACCATTTTTGTTTACTGGGTTGGGTAGCGTGCTAAGGGCAGTGCTTTGATTATGAAGACAATTAAGTACCTCATCACCTTCCTGCTCCTCAAGTATTGATACTGTCCTTTGGCTTTGTAGCTTTGATTTTTAAAGGACCTTGGGGATGTAAATCTAGCAGGCACTTAAAACAGCTACCAATAGACTTGTCCTTTGTTTTGCCCTCCTGCACAGAAGAGAGAGCTTTTGCTTCATATCAGATGATAATGCATAGAAATTTAATAGTCAAAAAATATGCATTGATTCTGTGGCAGATCAAGCCAGTGTTAAAATTTTTACCTATTCCATTGCCTGGAGCAAAACTAAGTGAAAGAATAAAATGTCCTAATAATTAAGCCATCCTGAATTTGCTCAGAGAGTTTAAGCTCAAACTTGGTTAATTAATTGGTTCCAAACTGAAGAAGTAAGTAGTATATTAATCTGGAAATAAGCAGCCCATGCCTACAGCTTTTCTTTCTACTGAGAACCAGCTTCTATTGAAACCAGCTTGAATTGCCAAAGTCAAATGGTATAAGGACAGAGCTTAATGTCTTCCAATTGTACAGCCAAGTAAGGAGGGAGATGAAGCTTTCAGGAAATTAAATGTCCCCTTCAGTTCACACCCATTGCCAAAACAATATAGCTGCTAAAGAGATGCATGATCTCTCTTGGTTTATTCACTCAGGGTCAGAATTAATTTTTTATTGTACTTATGTGATTTGATGCAAGGTTAAAGTTTGGTGATGTTGGGGAAAAGGTTGATTAGCTTTTAATAAACTGTAATAGGGAGAGTATTATGAGAACATGCCCTTCCCACACACTGCAGTTTGTCTTCCTGTTGCACTAGAAGTCATAAGCATCTGGACAAACAGAAAGCCCTGTCAGCATACTTAAAACACCCAGAAGGAAGCTTTGAGGGCATGGTGGCAAGATTGGAAAGGGTTCCTTTTTCTTTCTCAGAGCTTCGTGGTGTCCTGAATCCAGTCAAGATAACGAACCACATTTGTATAAACACCAGGTATGTCTTTGCGGCCGCAGCCGATTCCCCAGCTGATGATTCCGATCAGAAACATGCGATCATCCTTCATACACACCAGGGGCCCTCCAGAGTCACCCTACAGAGAAGCAGCAGATTAATAACAATTGCTTTTCCCACCCCCACTGGCTTTAGGGGTGCATTATGTTTACAGAAATACCCTATGCAGTATGCTCACAAATCAAGAGCTCTAGTAACAGTACTTTTACCCAAGTCACTTCTATGTTCCAGACTCCCTCAATGCTCCTCTTATGGGGAGAGACACAGAAAAATGTAACACTGAAGTGTCTAACTTTGTATGGAGCTCATTTATGAAATGCAGATAAAATGTTGAAAAGAAAAAAGAGAGTAAGGCCCTTATTCAAGCTATAAAGATCCAAGGGGTTTTATACTGCTGTGTGTAACAGTAAAGCAAAATTATTAAATAGCTGTTTAAACAAAGGATGTGCATTGAATGCACGCCTTCATTTCTCCTCGTGTCATTGCTCTCTACCATCTTTCAGCCTTTATTCCTCTTTTCTCTACTTTCAGCAGAGGGGCACCCTCTTCCTTCTACAGAACCTCCTGCTGAGTGTTTTGCATGCTCACACAACAGAAAATGCTAGGAAATGCTGGGGTGGGTTTTCCTGTTCAGTTTTGTGGTATTTCCTGTATTTGGGATTTTCGGTCTGTGTTGCTCTGGTTTGATTGTTTAAGTGTTCCCTGCCTTCCCTTCCATGAGGGGTGGGGGAAGAGAAGTGAAAGAGGAGCCACCAGTTCTGTCCATCAAAAGTCTACTAGAGCTGCCATGTAGGCAAATGCATAACTTCTTGAAACTGTTTTCTGAAGCTTTTTGTTTAGTTAGGTCAAAGTACAGAGAAAAGAGACGAGGAGAGGAGAGGAGAGGAGAGGAGAGGAGAGGAGAGGAGAGGAGAGGAGAGGGAATTTGGTTTACCTTGCAGGCATCATCAAGGTGCCTTGTGTCTCCTGCACATAACATGTTGTCTGTAACTGTCCTGTTGTCCAGATACTGTGCTGTGCACCGACTGGCTGGGAACAACCTGACCCGGCCTTCCTTCAGGTGCTCTGAATAGAATGGAGAAACTGGAAGAAAAATGACAATATAAATATGTATATATGTCTGTGTATGTGCAGATGTATGTTTTTTAAAAGTTGCAATTCCATTTCCATAGTTTAGGGGAGAGTCAACAGAAGTAGCTCTGTGGCTAAACTAAAATTTCCTTGTGAAAGGGTTTTTTTATATTTTGGGTGTTCCACTTTGATAATCAGAACAGCTTAAACCTAGTTGAGAAACAATACTGTTTCTTCAGCAAGCTAGAGAGCTTTATGCAGGCTCCAAATTGAAGACTGCCAGGTTTCTTGGGTGGATAAGTCATCTTTGCATAGTTACATCAATCAAAGTGAAGTCATGGGAAATGCCTATGAAAATGCCTTAACTGTATGAAACAGGATCCTAGCTTTTTAACACTAGACTTGCACTAACAAAAGTTAGATGCTTTGTCATACATAATACTGAGTAACTGGTACACTTAAGTTGGAATGGAAGAGATTTGGGTGGTAAATTTTGGATATTGGTTTTATTCCCTTGTATAGCTACAATTACACAAAACTGAAAGTTGGCAGGATTGTTGTTATTCAGCAAAGTTTTGAATTACAGTTGCAGCATCTTTTCCCTCTCAGAGTTCACCCTGTACTCCCTGTAAGCAATGCTGAGGACAAGCTTTAAAAACACTTTATGCTCCACTTACATGCTATGTCTTTAGGTCTGTTCCAAAACCCCTATGGATCCAAACTGTGATTAGGTCGTGTACAATGGATGCTTCACAGTTTTTGTCTTACTAAGTTTACAAGTTAGAGAACTTAAAGAAGATGGAAAAGGAAGAAAGTAAAATGAGGGCTGGGGCTTTTTTTGTTTGCTTTAAATACAGATCTGCCCGTGTATACTTTCAGACAGCTTTATTTCTGTTTGTTATAGCTCACTATAGAAACAATTTAACCAGCCTTTTAATGTATATCTGGGATTGTTATTTCTTTAGCTTTTAATCTCTGCATAGCCAATGTCTCAGAATAAGGCATCAGTCTGCAACTATATGGTATATTAAGGCTTGACAGAAATGGATTTCTGTCCAAATTACAGTATCCAAATGTACTGAGTACAGCAGATGTGGCAGACCTGATGGCAAATCTTATTTCTCTCCTACCTTATCATTGTGCCATTTTTTTTAAAGTTTTGTACTGTGGAGAGTATCAAGGAAGACTCTACTACTGGCAGAACAACCCCTACAACTGACAGAACTGAGATGAATAACTTACAGCAAAACCTGATTTTGAGTAACTCCTGTGTACATTTTGTAGTCCTCACATAAGCCAATATGACACATTACACATTCAGTGATGCTAAAGGCTTGAATTCTTGGAGGGCAGAGGACTCAAGCTCTGGACATGCAGAGATGTATCTTCTACTTACATTCTTCATTTCTGCCATACCCAGAGATCTCACACTCAGTCCAGTCAGGCAGCTGCAGCTCTGGCGTGGGGAGGCAGGCTGTGCGGACAGTGCCTGTTTCAACAGCACAGTCTTCTGCATCTGAGTTCAACTGCAACAGAGCTGAACAAGGAAAAAAATATCCCCACTTCATTAACCACAAACTCGAGCCAACCATGACCTTCCAGTAACAAAGGCAGAGAAGTTCTTACCAATGTCATTGTTTAAATTTTCTGAGTCAAATCTCTGATGCACAGTGTAGGTCTTCACTTGAAACTTCTGTTCTGTTTCCTCAGGAGTTGCTCGGGAAGTCCTACCCAGCACAATCTTCAGCTGATCTGTACTAAAGCTGAAGCAAAGAGAGTCTGTATTCCTGTTTATTCACTATTTACTATTCTATTTACTAGAGTTGACTCTTCCCTTGAAGATGTGCTATTGGAAAGTCTGCTTTTTTTGTTTTAAGTTTTTAAAATTTATTTTTATTTTAGCTCTATTACTACGTTGTTACCCAGGCAGTTTGACTTCAAAGTGACCTATTTGCCTTCATTTTTGTTCTGTGTGCTTACAGCCATCAGGGCAAAGCTCCTCTGCCAGCCCCTTGCTGTTCTCAAGTTTCAGATGATTCTGCTTTTGTATTGACAACTTTGTTCTTAAGGTATCTGATACTCTCCTGTGGTACCTTAATCCCATCCTGCTACTTTGCCCAATTAAATGCCTCTCTGTAATGCTCAGCACAATTAACTATAATCTTTTGTGCAGATTTACTGAGATAAAGAGGGTTTTTTCCAAGTCTTATACCCTCCCAGTAAAGCTATACTGGATTCTTCTATTTTCCACACTTTTTTTTCCCTCAGATAGTACTGAATCCTCAACTTACCCTTCCTCAAAACAGTGAGCAGCTGACAAAACCCAGCAGGAGCTGATCAGAACTCCTCCACAGAGGAAGTGCTCTCCAGGCACTCGGCGATACTTCACGAAGATGGCAGCTTGCCATGGGTGAGCAGCAATTTCTGCATAGGAGCCCCCTTTAGTGCTGAACTGGCGTGCCCTGCGCTGCCGTAAGCCACACGTGGCTGTGGATGACAAACCCAAAAACAGGCTTTTTGTTCAGGCACTCTTGCTTTGAGTTAGGGTTAAGAGCCTCCTAGTCACCAGTCCATGCTGAGGCAGCCTGCCACAAAACTGTTT